TCAAAGATTCTGTCTGTTACTTGGACGGCAAAGGCTCTGCAGAAGAAACTAAGGACCCTTCATGGAAACAGTATTGGCAGTTTCCTAGCCAGGACTTACCTAATCACAAGTGTCTTCATAAGACAAACACACAAGAGAGTTGGCTGCAGAAGGAGGCAGTGTGGCCACTGTGAGGCAGGAGCCACAAGCCAAGGAATGCTGATCCAAAGACTAGAAAAGATCAGGGAACATTCTTCCTGCAGAACTGCTACCTGGAGCAAAGCTTGCTGCTATCCTCATCTTTGACCCTGTGAGATTAACTTCTAGCTTCCAGTTTCTATCACTATAAAACGTGTGTTTTCCATGCACATCACCAAGTCGTATATTATTTGCTACATCAGCGATAGGAAGTGAATGTGCATGCCAAGTGGAGCCCGGTGCTGGGCTTCAAGCCTTAGAGGGTCCTGCTTGTTTCCAAGCCTGTGTGCCTTCTTTTAGGGTCGAATCTATGTCCTCACTTCTAGGCTAGGCACCAGGTATTCTTTCTTTCCGGGCCACAGACCTCCTCTTTATGTTTGTTCCCGAGAGGCAAACTATGGCCTTGCGGGCACACGCTCCTCCCTAAGTAGTAGTCACGGAAGCACGTCTGGACCGAGACCGCCAGGTATGCTAGGTGCAGTGGGAGCACCAATAGGAAGCTCCTGACGTAAGCCGGACAACGGGAGACGCTAGCCCTCCCGAAGCATCCTTGGCTTGATTCTCTATATATTTGAAATGAAAGACAATGGCCTTTGGTGGCACAGTGGACATGAAGCATGAAAGAAATAGAAAGTTATGTGATTTCTAAGGTTTCTGTTCCTCACAACTATGAAAATGACATTGCCATTAACACCGTAAAGAAGAGATAGAAGATGGGCTTCTGGGGGTAAAAATTGTAGCTCAATTTAAAATCTGTTGAAGGTAGGACACTCATGAGATAATAAAGTGGACGACTTTCTCAAAGACCTGGTTTTTCCTGACTAGATAGGCTCTTATAATAGGAGATTCTTAATTAGCTTTTGATAGGTCAAATGAATATGTGACATTTCTGTGTGGAAATGTTTCTAGATCTGCCCACAGCCTTCCACCATTGCATCATAGGTTGGCTAATGTCAAACCTGTTGACATTACACAGACTGGACCACTCTGTAAGTCAGCGTCTTTAACAAACTGATTGCTTAGCATCTTCCTGTTGTCAGTTCCCCCAAACCTTGATCAGGCCAAGGATGGATATTAAACGGTAACTAACACATAAGTAGCCTGAAGTCAGATCCACCGTCTGCAGTGACGCCTGTGTCTCAATGTGCTTATTTCAGGGAGTTTTTCCTCATGGTTATAAAATTTACCATACTGTTAATCTCTTTGTTCTGTCTATGAAGCTGAATTCTTTTCTCCCTCTCATTTAGGGGATGCTGACCACCAGGTCTTGTGTTTTACTGAACTCCCACACATTCCGGACACTAACGGGTAGAGAAACTTCAAACCATGTGTGATGGGGCCGAAGAGCCCATGAAGGTCAGTTCTTTAGAAAATTTTAATTTAATGAGTGAACAGTAACACTAATCTCCCCATATCTAAATTTATGGGCACTGTAAACATTTACATGCATAGAGCACAGAGTGTTACAGCCCTGAAAAGGTCAGCGTGCTGCTGGAAGCAGCTGGCTCGAGGCTGCATCGCTAGTGAATTTTCTCCTGGATCTTCCACAGCTGGGCGTCTTCTCCTCTTCCTCTTCTGAGACGTCCTCTGTGGGGTTCAACAGCGGTGCCGACAAGATAAAATCTCAAGTCATCTCTTAAGTCTGTATTACTCATTCTCTCAAACTCTTTCCTTGGTTTCCCTCTTTCTCTGGGGTACTCTGCTTCTTGTTCATCTCCCCACTTCTCTCTTCTGCTTGTTCTGGCCCATCTTTTGGTGTGTAAACACTCTGGAGGGCTCTGTCCCGGGCCCTCTTCTCTGTCCAACAGTGTTATATAGAGATGTCTTCTGCGTATGTTTTCCATCTTGGAGAGCAGGACCTTAAGACTCAGCCAGTAAACAACTCCCAAGTCTCAGGAAGTTCCTGAAATCTTGAAGATTCATAAGGTCCCTCTATTCCCAGGTATAAGTAGAAAAGACTTTCCTGGCCTCTTGATGGGCCTGCAGGTTGAGCGCAGGTTGCAGAAAAGCAGCTTTTGTGACTTGGCACCTATGCCGGCGGGGCTTTCAATGAGAGGCTGCTTGGGAAATGCCCACACTCTTCCAAGTAACCCTCACCCACACTCCCGTGAGTAACCAGTGTTTCTCTAAGCTAGACTTTGATGGAATCCTTCCTTGGGTCTGTCACTAGTACCCTATTTGGAGTGAGAAGACTCACTTGACAACAAGTACCCCCAAAGTGACCCTATCCAGACCCTTGACTGCAGATGCCATCAATATGTTGGTAAGCTCCAAGTTCATCTGTCAGCCTAGATCCCACTCCAGAGTTACTGATGTGTGTAGGAACCTCTCTGTGCCTCCATTTCCCCATCTGTAAAGTGGGCATAATGATAGCGCCTGTCTCACAGCAATGGCAGTATCCATCATGTTCTGGCAGGCAGATCCGCTTCCCGCTCCACCTCAGCGGCTATAGGAAAGTGGACTTTGTGCTCCACGTTAGAGCTGGTTGTCTTGCTCTCTAGGTTCTGGCAGCTTAATAAATGTCATCACCGGGAGGTAGCAGGGAACCAAGGCATGCTGGTCCAATAATTACGTCTTCCAGCTCTCTATGGAGACTTCTGGTTGGCAGGGGCTGCCTCCCCCTCCTAGGGACACATGCCCCAGGCCTCTGTTCCTACAGAAGTCTTTCTTGGTTCTAGAATCTGCTTTCTCTTCATTCTGTTGGTGAGTACCTTGTTAAATCCCTTTAATCATTCTCACTTTGAGAACAAGTCCCTCCATTAAATTCGATTCAATTACTTGGTATGAGCAGGCCATTTGCTTCGTGCCGGGAGTGCATCAGTCCGGGATTGTTTTGTGATTAAGTTAGATATTTGTCAAGTGTTTAGAGCAGTGACTGGCTTATAGTAATTGCTAGAGGAGCGTTTGGGAAATCGATAAACTGCCAACATGTCCCCTCTATTGCAGAGTTCAGAACTAATTTTCCAACCCCCCTTTCTGTATTAGGGTTTTCCAGAGAAACAGACTGAAGAACCAGCAAGATATGTGTATATATGTGAAGGCAAAGATGATGGACTTCGCTGACAAATTGAGTGTGAAATACGAGGGAAATAGAGGGGTGTGTGTGTGTGTGTGTGTGTGTAAGGAATTTATTTATACGGGAGTGACCTGTGCTATCATGGGGACTAACTAGCTCACTCAAAATCTGCAGAGCAGGCCCCTGGACTGGGGAACCTAAGGAACCTGCTGTGGTTCCAGGCTCAAGGCCATTCACAGTAAAGCCAGGAAGATCCATTGTTCTCATGTCAATAAAATCAGAAGGCGTGCCATAAACTGACTGATTCCCACCCGGGAGCCTTTGCACTTGCTGCTCTGCCCAGGAGACTGTCCCCTTACATTCTAACATGTCTTGCACCTCATTTCACTGAGGTTCTAAAAGCTAGGGACTATCTCAGTTGCCCCAATCACTGGACCATACTCTGCTAGGTGCCCCACCTTTATTTCCTTCCTTGGCATTTACCCCAACATAAAATTAGATATTTTAGGCCAGCCTCCCCATTAGAGTGTAATCCCATGAGAACATAGGAGTTTTGCCAGCTCATTTCATTTCTATATTCCCAGGCTCAGAATTGTGTCTGGCATACAAAAAGCACCCCATAAATATGAAATCCATGACCAAATGTGCATGCATGCATTTTCCTAAGCTCCCAAATAGGAATGCATGCGTTTGTGTGCATATTTCATCGCATGGGCCCATTTGGTCTTGATCCATGACCCTTTGCTAGAGAGAGATATTTAGTTATGATGGGTCTTAATGCCCGTTTGAAGAAAGGACACTGGGTACACTTCCGTTACCTCATGAGGATCTGGGATTCCTGCCTTAGAAGAATTTGGTTCATTTTATTAGACTTCGTACCTGGCTACCCCACCAGATTAGCAACAGTTTGGCTCTGCCCTATTTGTAAAGCTATGCTGGGAAGTTGTGGCTACAGGGTTTACAGCTGCAGCTATGTGACTGGAATTGCCTTGTCCTCTGAAACACATCTTCCTAACTCCGTCACCAAGGGAGCACGCTAGCTTGTACCTGTAGCACTCAGCCTTTCCATGTTCTGTGAGTCCTGTGTATGAACGATACTTCTCCCATGACCTTTCCCCACTCCATGGTCTGTATTTGGTATTTTAGGGAAAATGTAAGGACATATATGCAAATATATATGCTTTTTCTTTTGCACAGGGGAAGGAGATGCTATGTAATAGACTTTGAAACTAAACACACCCACAATCCAGCTTTCAAATAATTCCACAATCCATCACATACCCCAGATTACATTTTTATAATGTGTTTATTTGTGTACAAAATATGTTGTAGTTTATTGATGCATGTGCAGCAAAATATTCTATCACATACAACAAAAATACATCTCTGACTCCCATTCTCCTGCTCTTGGAAATGGCAACACTGTTTTGGCATTTCAGCAGCTAAAAATAAAGTGCTATTATTAAGCAGTATTGGAATGTCTTCACTTGACAATTGTGATGTGCAATTGAGTATACAACCACATCTTTGTTGTTTTCACAGAACAGGAAGCTCCAGGTCCTGAACACCTCCAGAAGATACAAATACTTGTATATATATGTACACGTGTATACACTGTATATGTAAAGTGCCAACAAGCCTCTTTGTCCTAGTGAGTTTGTTGCATTCATGCCCAGTCCCCTGTGTCCCGTAGTCAGAGTCACACCACTGAGATCTCTGGAGTTCATCAGCAGGCACCTAGAAAGACGCTCACCAAAGGCTGGCATGTTGGGTTTGTGGTGTTGGTGAGGGGACTCATAGAAGCCCTTCAGACCTCGCTGGGGGACCTGGAGCGGAATGGCACTTTGGATTGGAAACAGCCGCAGAACAGGAGCCACAAGGCTCGCTGGATCTCCTGGTTGCGGAAGGCATAGATGATGGGATTGATCATAGAGTTATAGGTGGCAGGCAGCAGGGTGGCGTAGGTGTAGATGGCCGGGTCCTCTTGGCTACCCACCACACAATAGATGGCAAAGGGCAGCCAGCTGGCTCCGAAAGTGCCCAGCACCACGGCCAGAGTTCCCACTCCCTTTCGAGTGGCGGCTAGGTGGGGCGGAGCTAGGCAGTGCTGCTGCAAGGCGATCTGGTGGGCGTGGCGCCAGACCACCTGGCAGATGCGCACGTACAGGTGCAGCATGATGCCAAAAACCACAAAGAAGGAAGTGGAGAGCAGCGCCACGTGGCTGCGTGTTAGAGGATGCACCACGCTGCAGGATGAGCGGTCGGCCAAGCAGTTCCAGCCTAGCACGGGCAGCAACCCCAATGCCAGTGACACTGTCCAGGTGGCTGCCAGTAAGAGGTGCACGCCCAATAGGGTCCGGCGCGAGTAGTAGGTGAGTGCGTTGTAAAGGGACAGGTAACGGTCCACTGTGATGGCAAGCAGGCTACTGACTGAGGCGGCGAAGGAGGCCACCAGGAAGCCCACCATGAGCAGGCTCACAGTCTCCGAGGGCACCACGTACTGAAACACGAAGTGTAGGATGAGGCCACAGCCCGCCAGCAGGTCGGCAGTGGCCAAGCTACCCACGAGCACAAACATGGGCGTGCGCAGCGCGGGAGTGGACGCGATGAGTGCCACCACCAGGGCGTTTTCGCCTGCTATCACGGTCCCCGACACACACAACAGCACATCCCAGGGATTCACTGCCGAAAGCAGTAGTCCCGACGGCCCTGCTGGTAGCTGCGAAGACAGCTCCAGTGACCCGTTAGGTCCTCTGCCGCCTCCCAGCGCCGCGGATGCTGCTGGGGGTCCCCATTCGCTGGTGTCCGGTGCTCCCGCTGCTGTGGCCGCAGCTGCTGCTCCCTCGGCCGCCACTGCCACTACCTGGGACTCGTTGAGCGAGGTGGCGCTCGCGTTCATGCCGCCAGATGTTGCTCCCTGCATGAAAAAGGACCGCAGATTGTCAGGTGCACTCTCCAGGCTACCGAGGAACTTAGTCTAGCAGGTGCCCTGCTCAAAATGTCTCACTCAAATTGCATAGCCCACCTCGGGAGCATGGAGCATAGTGACGAAGCGGGGATAAAGAGCGAACCCCCAAATAACTAAGCACCTGTTGAGTGGATGAATGAATGGATGGATAGATGAAATACACGGGGCTTCTGAGCTTTGACACAGATACATACGTAGATTCCACTATGCATTCACACGGACAATCCGGAAATATACCTGAGCTTGAACAAGCACCCAAATAAGGTCCCTTGCTTTAGCTAGGCAACGCCGCTGTCCGCGGTGCTGAAAGCGAAGTTTGCAGTCTCAGCTAGCAGAGCGAGGAGCCAGAGACTCTCGGTCAGGAATTGGGAATAAAAAGAAAACCAAAAAGGAGTGTGCTAGATACGGCGGTTAAGCCTCTCTCCGATTCTCTGATTCCGGAACAGACTCACTCCAGGACTGCCTCTTACCCCTTCGCCTTCCCCACACGCTCAAAGTACCCCTGGGAGCCCGCCACTCACCTGGGGAGTCAGGGCTCTGGGGAGTCTCTGGTCATGCGTTCCGTGGCCTTGTGCCCGGCTATGCTCTCTGCATGAACCGAGCAGCTGCCTGCAGGAGGCGGCCCCGGCGTCCAGGAGGAAAGCGCTTGTTGCCTGTCGTTGAACCACCGTCGCTGCGAGTGAGAGGCAGTGGCAGGGAAGGCTGTGAGCAGCGAGCAGCGCGCCCGCCCGGAGATTGACAGGCGGGGCCCGGTGACGTCAGGCTCTGAATTCTGGTTTCAGCGGATTATTCGCCACACCCGCCAGGCCAATCTTCCTTGACGCGTCCTCCCCCCCCCCCCCCCCCCCCCCCCCCCCCCCACCTTGCTCCCTGCTTGCCCCTTTCCCGATAACTCTTCTGCTTCCTCTCTCTCTCTCTCTCTCCCTCTCTCTCCCCCTCTCTCTCTCCCCCCCCCCCCCCCCCCCCCACAGAGCCGTCTTAGAGAGCTCCAGAAGGAAGGAGAAGCCAGAGCCTCCACCAGTCCAGAAACCTCCAGGAATGGGATAGGGGTGACAGGAGAGGGAGACAGGAACGAAACCCGAAGCCAGGCACAGAGGGTGAGCAGGAAAGGGAAGGTGAGGGATGAGTGACAATAAGCCACACAACAAAGGCCAGAGTCAAGGATCGCTGAGGGGTAGGCGAAGCAGCCTTGGAGAAGGGTGATTTAATTATTTTGGGTAAAGCTAGCCAGGTGGCGGGATGCAGCCGCTCCATCAACAGAAGGGGAGGTTGGGACAGAGGCATCTGGAGGGAGAGAGAAAACTCGGGAAAGTAGTTCTCTTTTAAGAGTGTTTAACCAGCATTTGTATCTTGAGTAGAGCCAGGGAAGAAAAGGAGGAGCCAGGGAAGCAGGAAGACCATAAGGACAGCTGGGACAAGCTGGCTTCCTCTGGAGGAGGGGTTTACCTGAGCAATCCTCTCTCCCTTCATCTTTCTGAGTTCTGCTCTGCAGGTTTCACCACAATCTCCGCCCTTCTTGCTGCTGCCCTTGCAACTGCTATTTAGTTGAAGACAAGGTCTGTGTCTTGTTAGAAAAAGAGAAAACAGCAAAATGTTATTTACTTTCTTGGCAACAGAGTTTGCCCTGCTAATTAGTACCTTGTAAAACAGATTATAGGACCAAAATAGTGCTAAGTCAGCTGTACCAGGCTTCAGTAGGCAGAGGTTTTATTTTCAGCCCAGATAAACCATCCTTTCGGTTTAAAGGTGTTTTGTTTTGTCAGTAAAATGCAAGTCTTTGTCTTTTATCTCCAATAGCTGTGCTTGGACCAAAAGCTAAAGTGGCTGACTTTGTGTGAGGCTCTGAAAGAAATGATTGCACTCTGCTTTTATGGGATTGGACTGAGGTTGTAGCTCTAGCCTCCACATACTACATGGTTTGGCAAGGTGAAATAAAGCAACATACATTATAGGTGCCTCTTGCTTCCTCCGCAATTGGTGCTTGGCTTCATTCTTACATATAGCTCAAGGGATGGAAAGATGGAGAAAGAAAGGAAGAGAGAAAAGAAGGAAAAATGGAAGAAAGAACTCAGCTCACCTATAGTCTGGAGGGGGGGGGAGGTGTTTACCTGAGTTGATAACTTTAAACAGAACCTCCCAGACCACCCCTGCTCCTGCCTCAGTGTACCTGAACTCACCTAAGAAAGTGCAATTCTTTAGGGCAATAACTAATGTTGGGTTATGAATGAATTTATCCTCCATTTGAGGGATTTCAAAACTTAACACACTACACCATTTTCACGAACCTAAAACTTGACTGACATTCCAAGTTCCTGAAATGATCCAAGAACTTCGTTTCAGAACTGTCAAATGAACTCTGAAACCTCTGCACGTTTGCAAGTGATTACATCAGGTACAGGCCTGAGACCTCAGGTCTGCCCCAATAGATCTAAGGATGCAGGCCAACACAGAATCATATTATGAGGGATTTTTTTTCTGATTGTTTTTCTTAATAGCTTGGTTACCTGGTTCTTAAGCATGAACTCTATAAATGACAACACTGTGTTTCAATGTCAAAAGATAAATATGCCTGGCAGGAGGGGCCAAAATCTGTGCAGTTAACATGCCAGAACACACCCTACCCTTTATCTGGACAACCTCCATTTTGTCATACCCCAAAATAAACATGATTGGGGGGGCTACCTTAGTCAATGTCCTGTTGCTGTGAAGAGACACCTTGGTTCTTATAAAGGAAAGCATTTAATTGGGGCTGGCTTACAGGTTTGGAGGTTTATTTAGTCCACTATCTTTGTGGCAGGAGGCATGGCAGCACACTGGCAGACATGGTAGGAGAAGAAACCGAGGGTTCTACACCTGGATCTGCAGGCAACAGGGAAAGAGAGACACTGGGCCTGACTTGAGCGCTTGAGACCTCAGTGCCCACCCCCTCCTGGGCACACTTCCTTCAACAAGGCCACCCCTCCTAAGGCCACTCCTTAACCATTCAAATAGATGAGCCTATGAAGCCAATCCTACTCATATCACCACAGGGGGTTGGAGGACCCATGAGAAGTCATACATGAACATACTGAAAGTTTGTAAAGTGCCTTGGGTTGTGTGGTTTTCTTTCCAGACGAGGCACATTTTTTCCAATCCCCTCCCTCATTTCTGCTCATCTCTTCTTGGTAGACAGGGGCATGGGGAGCCTTGGAACTTTCCCTTCATGTCTCTACCACAAATCTTCCCACCTTTGAACTACCTTGAGTCTGTTTTCATTCTGTGAATTCTTCAGGCTTGATTAGAGCACCCAACTAAATGTATGGTTCGTGTACCAGCATGCCTTGTTCTGGTTATGGTTTGGGAGTCGAGAATCGCATTTTGTGGATTCCCAAAACTGCTGTTCATATCCTGGCTGCCCAGACCGGAATAGCAACACAGAAACTGTATTAATTACAACACTGTTTGGCCTATTAGCTCAGGCTTTTTGTTAACTAACTCTTACATCTTAAATTAATCCATTCCTATTATTTCGCATTTTGCCACAAGGCTCATGGTTTACGAGTAAGGTTCCCAGCCATCTGCCTCCTTTGGTGGCTACATCGTGATTCTCTGGCTCTGTCGTCTTTTCTCCTCTATCTCTGCTTGGAATTCCTACCTTGCTCTGCACTGCAATAGGCCCAAAGCAGATTCTTTATTAACCAATGGTAATAAAACATATTCACAACATATAGGAAATCCCATATCACCTCTCTCTTTCTGTCTAAATAAAAAGGAAGGTTTTAATTTTAACATAGTAAAATTATATATAACAAAACAGTTATCAGGCAAGAATTATAGTTACAATATTTAGTCCATTTACATTTGGAAAATTAAGGAAAATACTCTATCATCAATTTTATCTTTGTGAGTCTAAAATTTTGTATCTAATCTATCTTTTATAATTATAAAACTGTCTTTCTTCAACTCCATCAAAAACTCCAGAAGGATATAATATTACTTAAGTTAACAGGAAATGCATTTTAAGCAACTTCCAAAACTCTAGAATTGACAGAGATATCTTGCTGCCTGGACTGTTACCAGTCTTTTGTAACATTTGGGCATCCATATTTAGACTACAGGTCCATAGTTTCTGGACTTTTCCATGAAGCAGGAAATTTCAAAGACATTTTTGCCTATATTGGCAGTTTGTCAGTCACTTTCTTCTGTGTTCTGCAGAATTTCTGGCAGATTCTTTCATGATATGGGATCACTGAAAGACTGTCTCACCTTCTTTAGTGAACTTCAGCAGTCATTTTTCTGTGGTTCTGCATGTCCAGTTTATACAGCTTATCATTAAGCAGTCCAAGCAAGAGCAGTTTCTTGCCCAAATGGCTAACAAACTCCAGAAAGAGCCTCTTCAATGCTCATCATTCTCTTGTAGTAGATTGGTGCTGCCAGGAGCAGATGTGTCTCATTGTCATGAAAAGTCCTAAGTTTTTAAACATTTTAAATGCCATATTCTGTTAATCTTTGGAAAGTTTGAAGAATACCTATCCTTCCGAAATAAATCTCTGTACATCTAGAAAACCTAACATAACTATGAGCTTGATTCTTATAGATGACTATCTATTAGCCTGTATTTGTTAATTATACATTACATTTTTAAATGGGCTGCACAAACACAAAACCTTAACCAAGAGCAGAAATATACATATAACAAAATTGACCTTAAATTTTTATTAATAAACCAAGATCCATACCAATGCAAAGTATATGTAAGCAAACATTTATAAACAATATTTTAGGAATCTGCGCGTTGCTCTCTAGAATACTTCCAGCTGACTGGGGTGCTGTTAATCAGGTCTTTCATGGGGTATCCCATGTGGTAGGTCCATCTCAGCCAGCAGTCCTGAAGCTGTCATGGATGTTGGACCATCTGGGCCATTGCTTCAGGGGGTCTTGTTTTATCAAAC